TTTTCTAAGTTTAAACCACACTTTTATTTCTTTATATTGCCTTGACTCCCTCTCCATATGAAAGATCTATGAGTACATTTTTTAGTCCCTCTTTTTTGTTTTATTGTTGTCATCTTTTATATATTAACATCTCTGTTTCCCTATTTTCAGTGTTTTAGCTTTGATTTATTTTTGTGACTTCCCTATCTGGGTTGATATCTGGTTGCTCTGTCCTGTGTTCTAGTCTTGAGTTGTTGTATGATGTTATCGATTTTCTATCCAGAGGACTCCCTTTAGTATTTCTTGTAATTATGGTTTGGTTTTTGCAAATTCCCTAAACTTCTGTCTATCTGGAAATGCCCTAATTTCACCATCATATTTGAGAGACAGTTTTGCTGTATATATAATTCTTAGCTGGCAATTTTTTTCCTTCAAGGCTTTATATGTGTCATCCCATTGCCTTCTTGCCTTCATGGTTTCTGCTGAGTAGTCAGAGTTTAGTCTTATTGACTCTCCTCTGTAGATGACTTTTCATTTATCCCTAGCCACTCTTAAAATTCTCTCTTTATCTTTGGTTTGGCAAGCTTGATTATAATATGTCTTGGTGACTTTCTTTTGGGATCTACCTTATGTGGGGTTCGATGAGCATCTTGAATAGATATCTTGTCATCTTTTACAATATCAGGGAAGTTTTCTGCCAACAAATCTTCATCAATTCTCTCTGTATTTTCTATTAACCCCCCCACCCCGTTCTGGTACTCCAGTCACTTGTAGATTATTCCTCTTTATACAGTCTCACATAATTCTTAGGGTCTCTTCATTTTTTTTAATCCTTTTATCCGATTTTTCCTCAGATAAGTTGGTGTCAAGTGCTTTATCTTCAATCTCACTAATTCTGACTTCCATTGCCTCAGTTCTGCTCCTATGACTTTCTGTTGAGTTGTCCAATTCTGAAATTTTACTGTTAATTTTCTGGATTTCTGATTGCTGTCTCTCTATGGAGTCTTGCAGCCTGTTAAATTTGTCATTATGCTCTTGAATAACCTTCTTAAGATCCTCGATTGCTTTGTCTTGTGTCCCTTGACTTTTTCTGCATTTTGAATGATCTCCTTCCTGATCTCTTGAAGAGTTATGTATATTAATCTTTTGTATTCTACATCAAGTAATTCCAGGAAGTTCTCTTCCTCCAGAAAATTTCTTGAGTCTTTGTTTTGGGAGTTTGCTGAAGCCACCATGGTCCACCTCTTTATGTGATTTCATATTGACTGTTGTCTCCAAGCTATCAATAAGTTATTATATTTATTTATTTTATGTTTGCTTACTGTGTCGTAGCTTCTTGTTTTGTTTTGTTTTGATATGCCCAAATAGGCTGCTCCTGTGAGCTAGTTTGATTATTGGCACCTTTGAAGCTCTAGTATCCTGTGACCCAGTGGTTAGATCTGTTACTAGGTATATGAGCACAGGAGTCCATTTACTTTTCTTGTATGGATTAAGCTCAGGTATCCAGGTAGTCGGTCACCAAGTGAGTGGTGCACGCTCTTACCTACAGTCCTAGATGAGCAGGGGTGATTGGAGTAGGCACAGACGTCTGGCTGCAGTAGGTGGTCACATGCTGAGCAAGGCAGAGGGCTGACGACCGCCTCTGAGTGTCTGGGAGGAAAGCGTGTCCCTGTTCCCTAGAGTGCGTAGGTGGGTGGGTTTTGCAGCCAGACTATGGGCACCCAATGCTGTTGGCTCTAAGGACTAGGGGCACTACTTATTCTTGGACCCCTGTTGTGGGTGGCTAGGTGGCCTGGGTGGAGCCACCAGTCCTCAGGCCTCTGATGTGAGTAGGTTAGGACCCTGCCACTTCACACAATATAGCTGATACAGTTGAAATTAGGCTTCAGGTATATTCCCTGTTGTACTGTGGTAATGAGGTCCTTCACTGTTGAAATGAGCCCACAAAGGCCTATGCAGGGATGAAAGGCACTCGAAGTCCATGGACTCCTTATGCCTGTGCCTATGCAAAGGAGCTGTGCCTACCCTAAGTTCCCAGCTTAGGGGAGCTGGCAGATTATTTTCTCCTTTTAGTTAATTTGTTCCCTCTCCAAGGCCAGGAGAATGGCTCAGGGTGAGTGACAGGTCCTACTTCGGCCCAGGGGACTTGACAATCACTGAAGCAGGCCTGGAACCCAGTGCAGAGTGGCAAGGTGGCAGGTAAATGGGAGAGAGGTTTTTCCCAAAGGGGGTGTTTTTTGATCTGTGGGTTAGGTCAGACGCACGTACTTCTCTTTTGCCAATTGAGCACTGCTTTTCACTGGTTCTGGAGGCCTGAGTAGACTCTCTGCCACTCGATCTCTCTTGATGTGGAAAATGCCTCCTGAGCTCCACTGCTTGCCTAATTACGCACGCCAACCAATCCAGCCTGAAGTGTGCCGGTTCCCACTTGGTCAGGTCTGACAACTCCTTGCTACTTCCAAACCGTCTCTCTCTCCCCCTGTCACTCAGTCCAATTCCTCAACTTTGCCTTTGATGTTCAGGGCTCCTAGATTGTCATATATAATTGATTCACTTATTTTTTCAGGTCTTTGTTGTGAAAGGGACCACAAGAAGTATCTGACTACTCTGCCATCTTGGCCCCGCCTCCTCCTTTTTTTATGTACTTATTCAATCATTTATTTGTGTCAGTGAAATCATGAATATTTATTTTACACTTTGGGTTATAGTCCAATACGAGTTTATTTTGTGGCTCAAACTGTTCCCGGCTTTAACCAGTGGGAGTGGTTTAAATTGGCTCGTATGTCCCTTTGACATATCCTTATTAGTGTGGATTTTTTATTTTTGTTTTTTGAGCACTTCTTTACTCTCTGGTACTAAAAGATGCTCCAGACTCATCTTGTATATTTCCTGCGCCAGTCCTAGGATCAGGCATTTCTCCAAGGAATCGTGATACCTTTTATTGGAGAATGATACTAGAAAGCAAGACCTGGGTGCTTGGTGATGGTACATTTTTATATGCTCCCCTCCCACTTGTGGCCAGAAACCATGAAGCATATTGATAGATCTCCACATGACTGCTTGGCTTCCTAATTCATGAGGGATTCCTAATATTCATGATGTCACTATCTGGCATGCTTCTCAGAACTTTTGGAAAGCATGATTCTAGCAGCAATCAACGAAGACCACAGTTCAGTCATGGCGGTCAGGGGCAGCCCATGAAACTGAAAATCAGATAGCAGTGGTTCAACCAGATAGCCTCTCATGACAAGGGCACTTTTGGCTATCTGGTCCATAGGAGATCCCTCGGTAAATGTTGCTCTCTACGATCCGGAAGCACTTTCATTGGAGCAGAGGAAACATGTGGACATTTCAATTCCCAGCTATTGAAACAACCACTGATAAATGTTTCTGTGTCAGCCAGGAGGTGGTCCCTAGTGCATTCCCACAGAGAGATCCAAACTTGCTGTCCAATATTTTCATCAACAGTTTAGATGGAGTTGTAGAAACAAGCTTATCAAATTTACAGATATTGCAAAGTTGTAAGCTAATATAATAAAGACAGAATAAGATTCAAAATATTCCAACAGCCTGATACGTAGGCTGGAAGCAAGAAGATGAAATGTTAACAGGGGAAAAGTAAAGTTTTGCAGTTGGGTTTTAGAAATCCATTGCATAAATACAGAGTGGGAGTAATAACTGGCACTGACTCATGTGAAAAACATGAGGATTTTTGTTGTGCACACGCTTTACATGAGCCAGCAGTGTGGCAGGGCTGCCAACAGGGTGACATTAGTTCAGGATGGAGTAAGGGGAGTGCCCTGCCCAGGTTCAAAAGAGTCATTGTCCCATAGTACGCTGTACTGGTCGGGTGGCTCCAGGAGCATTGTTGTCATTTCTGAGTACCATATTTTAATATATTGACAATTAGTGTTGACAATATACTGACAAACTAGTTTGTGTCCAAAGGAAGGCAACCAGGAAAGTGGATAGAACCATGCTATTCTATGATGAAGGTTTGAAGGAATTATGGGTGGTTGGTCTGTAGAAGAGAAGCAAAGGCGAATTGAGATGGCCATCTCCAGTCGGGGAAAGGACTGTAAGGGGCAAGAGAGGTGCTGTCTATTTTGTGCAACTCTGTAAAGCAAGACTCTGAACAATGGGAACAAGTTACAGGGAGGGAGATTCTGCATCAGTACAGTATAAGAAAGCATTACCCAATAAAAAGACAACCAGCTCCCCATAACTCCCTATATGTGAGCAGAAGCTACTGTACAGGGAACTCCCAAGATGGGTGGAAACTTGGTAGATCCAGGCTGTTGCTTTATCCAGTTACTTATTCACCAGAAACATAATTATGAAGTTGTTGTTTAAGCAGGTTTGGTCATGTATAATTTAGAACTGCAACAATAGTCATTTGCTTCACATTTTTCTTCTGTTAATTATTCAACCTTCTTGGTTTTCAGAAAAGCTGGTCATGAAACCCAGTTGGAAATGTACAGAAAGGTTTAGTACTTTCCCCAAAATACAGTTAAATAGTTGACATTAAACAATTAAGCCTCAGGTCCAAAAAAATACTGTTTTGTCAAACAACATAAACCCAATTCCACTAGCCCAATTGGTAAATACTCCATCCTATATTCCATCTTTGGAAAAATTAATTGCCAAATTAATTGATGAGTGTGAGACCAGGCCTTTGGCCTCTCTCTAGAACTCCCATAACTGTAGAGGAAAAGAATGTGGCTCGTTTCCCATTATCTGTTTTGTTTTCATTTGCATCTGTGTATGTTTCCCAATTTGGGGCCACCTGTCCTTGAACAGCTGGAAGCAGGCGGTATATTCAAGAGCGCTAAGCCAAAACTCATTAACTCATGATCCTTGGTATTGTCGGGGTTGGTTTCTGGCCGTGGGAATCATCTTTTCTCTGCCTTTGCACAGCTGTATGTTCTAAATCACCGGAGGGAAAAACGTTTCCTGTTAAAATGCATTATTCTTTTAGATCATAAAGCTTGTCAATACCTCACTCATGTCTGTTCTTACAGCTTACAGGCCAGTGTCCGTGTAAATTAGGTTATGGTGGGAAACGCTGCAATGAGTGCAAGGAAAATTATTATGGCAATCCACCAGAGCCATGCATTCGTAAGTACTGGTAATTCTCAAAACATCTGAGTACAACCAACCTGGCCCTACCACGGGTACACTTCAAACCAACTGAATTTTAAATTCCTTTATTTGGTTGTTGCTTTTAACAATATAGGCTTAGTTAGAAAATTCATAAAATTTGGTCCAAGTTTTGAAAATAATATTTTTGTAGTCCTGTAAAAGAGATTAGTATAACCGTTGTTAAAACTTTTAGCCGATATTAAAATTTACAGCTTACATTAAAATTTCTCAGTCATCACAATGGAACAGACCTCTGGGGTCATGATTTGTAGGCAATTTTCTGCTATTTGGAAGCAAGTTGAGAAAAATGACTACTCAGGATTGAGATACCGGCTGGTCAATGGATCATAGGAAGCCAGTAGCGGGGACATTTCCCCACAGTGACTCTCATGAATCCAGGTCTATCATGTATTCACTTATTCATTTATTTAACAAATATTCATAGAGTACCTACTGGGTGCTCTAGGTGAACAAGTAAGGCAAGGCCTTGTGCTCATGGAATTCATGTTCCAGTGTCTTCATTCCATAGATTAGCACTAGGTTGTGGGGTTTAGAGCAGCGCTGTCCAAGAACTTTCTGTGATGATGGGAAATGTTCTACATCTGTGTTGTCCAATGTGGTAGCCACTAGCTTATGTGGCTGTTGAGCACTTGAAATGTGACTAGTATAACTGAGGAACTGAATTTTTTATTTATTTAATTTTAATTAGTTTAAATTTAAATAACCCCATACTGAACAGCTTAGATTTAGAGTCTGGGGTTGGTTCTAGGAGACAGGATTTTTGAATGTCCATTTAAAATTAATGTCCAAAGGCAGTCAATCCAAAAAGCTCCAGACATAATGGTCTTTTCATTGTAGTCACCCCTACAACCATGCATAGTAGCGCTTTTCTCCTCTCCATTCTTTTATAAATGTATTTTTGTGGCTAAAACATTACCATCATTTCCTTGTGTCATTCAGATAGATAACATATTCTCATTGATTTTTCCCTGAGTCCTACCTACTCAGTCCTCTATGTGGAATTGCTACTTTAAAAACCAGGAAAGAATTTTGGCTCTTGGAAGGTTTGTCTTAGAGAGCCTTTTCCCCTGTGTCCTTCTGACATTTCAATAATCTTATTTCACAGAAATGCTTTCATTCTTTATACTGACACAGTAGAAGAAATATTGCAAACGGTCAACTCAGGCCACAGACCCCACTAAAACTTCTGGGGAAGAGAGGCTAATGAGGGAGAAACTTGGCCTCCAGCTGTTGAGATGACATCATGCCACCCCCACAGGACTCCTGTGAGGCCTCTGGACCAAAGCTGCATGTGCCAGACAGATGGTACCTAGCTGAGGAGCCTAGTGTGCTAATGCATTTTTATTTGTAATTGGCATTATTTTTACTCAAGCTGTCAAATGCATTTTTAAGTCACTTGTTTCTTAAAATTAGTCCAAAGACCTAGGCTAGTGATTCTCTAACCTTCTAGAAATTGTCTTAATGTCAATAGCTCTCCCCATCCTTTAGTCTCAGGCTTACTCAGAAACCTAGTCAATTAAAGAGCTGCGTGGCATTAGTTTTTACTATTATTATTATCAAGACAAAATGAATGGTGCCCCTGTATTTGAGAATGGAATATTTCTCCTTAAAATATGGGAGACAACATGAGTCAGCACATCCAGTCTGGATTGTACTGAGAAAAGTACGGTCATGGGAATTCTGTGAGTCTGTGACATGCCTAAGGAGCCCTGGTGGCGCAGTGGTTAAAGCAATCAGCTGCTAACGGTTGTTGGTGGTTCGAAGCCTCCAGCCGCTCCACGGGAGAAAGATGTGGCAGTCTGCTTCCATAGAGATTAATGGGGTCACTATGAGTTGGAATCAGCTGGACGGCAGTGGGTTTTCTTTGTTTGTTTTGGTGACATGCCTACATCACCCCACGAGGCGGTAGTAGCAGAGTCGCTAGTACACCATCCACCATTAGATCCACATTCCTCACTCAAATAGGTGAAGAGCCCACATGTGCACACTCATAAAAATGACAGCTAATATTTTCCATATATAAGCCATGGACTGATTGGATAGTGGAATGAAGAGAGGATTGCTGTACTTCAGTGGCCTTTGCACAGATCACTGAAAGTATACTAGTTTAAAACGTTCACCCTAGATGTGCGAGTTGGAGGGCTTCTTAAAAGAGAGGAGAGGGCTTTATTCTTGAGCTGGTTGTAAGCAAAAAGACCAAGTGACATTCTCTGCTCCTCCTCTCTTCCTTTTTAGCATGCAACTACAACAGGGAAGGTACCCAGACGCCCGCCTGTGACCCGGACACGGGCATGTGCCGCTGCCAGGAGGGTGTCGGCAGCCAGCAATGTGATCCCTGCGCCCAGGGTCACGGCCAGGAATTCCCTATTTGTCTTCGGTGTCACTCGTGCTTTGATCAATGGGACCTCACCATTTCTTCACTCTCCAAAGTCGTGCAAAGGTTAATGAGGCTGGTTGTTAACATGGAAGATAAAAGAGGGACCCTGCCCATCTGTGAGGCCAACTTCAAAGGCCCCAGAGAGAACGTGTCTGAAATAGAAATGATTTTGAAGCATCCTATTTTCTCATCTGGGGAATTCTTAAGAGTCAAGGATTATCACGACTCTGTTCGGTAAGATTTGTGCTCAGGTAGTAGATAGCTGAGCTCCTGATTTACCTTCATTCCTGCTGAGCTTTAATATCCTTAGCCTTCAATTTAGAAATGCATCTACATTGACTTTAGGGAAATGACAATCACTCAGATAATAACCAAGGAGTTTATCTTGTCGTCTTTCTCTTTCTTACCCAGTAATGATTGCATGTGATTTTTCCAGACACCGTTGTTTATAACAAAAAGAGAATCATTAAAATGTCGATGGGGAAGCCCAAGCCCAGCAGAGCTGGAAGACGTGAAATTGGAAGTATGGTAGTTTTTAATATAAATATGTTTTTTCAACATACACTCAGAAAACTTGCTAAATCTTCCCAAATTCTTCCATTGTTTAGAAGCCCATACATTAATGTGAAGTCTTATAACAAGTATAAAAATTCCTCCAAAATGCAAGATCACTTTAATTACATTTTACTGAATCTTTTTTTAAGTCATCAAACGTTTCTTGAGATTAGGTTGGTTGCTGTGGGATAGGAGTTAGTAAACCACAGCCCACAGGCCAAATCCAACCCAGCGCTCATTTTTGTAAATGAAGTTTCATTGGAACACATCCACACCCTTTTATTTACGTATTGTGTGTTGCTGCTTTCCCTCTACAAAGGCAGAGTTGAGTAGTTGCAACTGAGGTACTATGATCCCCAAAGTGTAAAATGTTTACTATCTGGCCCTTTACAGAAAAAGTTTGCTGACCTGCTCCAAGCAAAACCAGGATGAACTGGGTATAGTTTCCACCCTCATAGGAACACACAGTCTAGTAAGAAACCAAAAAACTGTGATTATATACCAAAACAAAAACCAAATGAACAGTTGCCATCAAGTTGATTCTAACTCAAGGTGACCCATATGTTTCAGAGTATAACTGTGCTCCATAGGGTTTCCAATGACCTTTTGGAAGAAGATAGCCAGGACTTTCTTCCAAGGCACCTCTGGGTGGATTTTAACCACCAATCTTTCAGTTAGCAACCAAGCACTTAACTATTTGTGCCACCCAGGGACTCTAGATAGCAAAATAACCCCTGTACAAAATAAAGGTCCTACATTAAGGAAAGCTGGAGCTGTAGAGTTTTATGTTATGTGTAACACAGTGTAAATACAAGGCCATTCATTATCAATAGCCAAATATCCCAGAGCTGTATGGTAATTGGAGCCCTGGTGGCTCAGTGGTTGAGAGTTTGGCTGCTAACGAAAGGTCAGCAGTTCGAATCCACCAGCCACTCCTTGGAAACCCTATGGGGCAGTTCCACTCTGTCCTATAGGGTTGCTATGAGTCAGAATTGACTCAACAGTAACAGGTTTGTTTGTTTTTTTTTTTTTTTTTTTTTGGTTATATGGTAATTGCCTGTAAATTACACAAGGAAGAAGACACAATCTAGTTGGGCCGTTCAGAGGGAGGTGAACTGCATCCTAAATGCACCCACAGGGCCTGAGAGGTCAGGTGACCAATGCAGGCTGACAGGTGAGGACAGGCATGTCCAGATTGTTCTACAGGCTGTTGCCATACAGGAAGGTGAGCCCCATGTTCCTAGATCTTCCCACTTTCAGGAAATGTCAGACATTTGGATTTTTATGTGAAATGCTCCCACTTTTAAACACTGGCAGCTAATCTAATAGTGCTTTTATTATCTATTAAAAGTAATGGGGGAGCCCTCTATAGGCACGGAAAAGATGTGTGAGGGTGAGCTTTGGCCCATGGACCACTGGCTTGTGATCATAGACATCCAGGAAAATGACAGAGGAAGTCGGACTGAGAAGGTGGAACCTCTACAGTGGACGTTCTAGACACCGAGACTGTGACAGCCCAGAGCAGGGCCAGAGAAGAGATCAGGAGAAGCAGGAGACCCAGGGTCAGGCCTGAGAGATGAGGAAAGCAGGGGCACTGAGCCTCTTCAACCAGAAGCCAAAAGGCCTGCCCCTCTTGGTCCACCTGCCGAGCTCCTATTCCTCTTTAACAGCCACCCAAACACCACCTCCTCCCTGAAGCCTTCCCTGACCTGCCCAGAGGAAGGCTTGTATGTCCTTCTGTTTCCACCTCTTTATGGCTCATTCGCCATTGCCTCACTGGGGGACTCCTGAGGGCCTTTTCTTTATGTTTGTATTTCCTGGGCCTGGTGCAGGCATATAACACATATTTGCAGAACAAATTACAAAGTCAAGGGGGGGCGGGGCAGAGACCCGAGGGTGTCTTAAGCATAGATTCAGAAGTCAAGCAAACTTGGTTCAAATCCACTTACTAACTATATGGCCGTAGAGAGATTAATTTCTCCAAGCTTTAGTTTCTTCATCAAAAAAAGAGGATAGTAGTCTCTATTTCATAGGATTCTTGTGAGAATTACTCAAGACAAGCCACTTAGCATGGTGTCTGGCACATAGTAAGCGCTTAAGGAGTACCAATTATAATAACAGTTATTACTATTATTATTTGCCTAAAAAATCATAGTTGTGACAGTTGGAGCCTGAAGGAAAAGTCTATAGATTAGAAGGAAGAGTTAGAGCAGAAAATGCTAAGAATCATTAGTTAATGCTTTGCATTTGTCACAAGGTAAATTAATCCCTTAAACTTGTATCATAGTATTCCTCAACTGTACCTTTCAAGATTTGCACCCAATTTCCCCATCACGAGGAATGTACTAATTATTCAGTTGAACCAAAGGTGTGGGCTGAACCCAGCAAATTGAAACAGGGCAAAGGAGTGCACCATCAAAAATGAAGGTGATGGAAAAAGAACACACCCAGGGGTATACTCTCTGACAAGGAGCTCTCCTTGTCACTCGTGGAAATGATAATTAAACCCGTGCAGCTGTGGCACTGACAGGAATCTTGCTGAAAATAGAAGTAGTCTACATGAAGAACTGATTTTTGCCCTAGGCTGGGTGAAGGCTTTGTTTTATCATCTGTTAAAAGCCTGATATAGACTGGCCCTCTTAGACAGATTTAAATGAACCAGGTCTGAATACATGTTTTTGAAATCCCAAGCAAAAGGAGACAGAGAGAGCATACACCATTGAAGTTGAAAGCTTCAAAAACTTTTATTCTACTCGACCTTGTATTCTGGTCATACTTAAATGAGTGCTGAAGTACTTCAGAAGCTGAATTAACAGCAAAGAGATGGGCAAGAAGCAGAATTGTAAATGGTCAAATGAAAATTTGGAGGAAAAAAATCCCTTCTGATTGAGGATACCTAATGATGAGGGCAATTTTTTGGGTGTGCTCCCCTCATCCCCCGCCTCGAATCTATCAAATATGATACAAGTTTAACTACATTTACCTTCATTTTTTCCCATAGGAAACAAATCATGCAGCTAAGTGAGCAACTGAAAACAGTGTATGAATTTCAAGACCTGAACAGAACAATAGTAAGACTGAGGAATGAAGCAGACCTCTTACTTGAAGACCTTCAGGAGGAAATTGATTTGCACTCCAGTGCCCAAAATGCAAGCATCTTGGGTAAGAAAGAAAATGCACTTCAACTGGTTATTTCTGCACAAAGTCTGATGAAATCCATAGTGCATTCCATTAGTGAGTCACTCCGCGCTTACCACCATAGTCCCCGAGCACTTTAGAAGTGAAAACACACCCATTAAAGGCATGACTTGTACATGAATATTTCAACTTTTTAAACACTGCGGAGTCTGGATACCATTTGCTCAAAATAACAAGTAAAGCTAGCAATGTCTGATACTAAACAAATACTAAACACAGAATAATCTTCTAACGCCAAACCCTGGGAGGGGTCTTAAGTAATCAGCCACTCAGTAATTCTAATGTGGGCATAAGGAAATGAGAGAGATATGTTCTTATCCCTTCCTGGGTATAACCCATTCCATTTTCAGCAAACAGAAAAACAAAAGAATATGAGGCAAAAAGGAAATAAACACATTTCTCACAAGAACCTTATAGAGATTGGAATCATGAAACATACTAAAACAAACCAGTTACCCTAGAATCGATTCTGACTCATAGCGACCCTGTAGGACAGAGTAGAACTGCCCTGCAGGGTTTCCAAGGAGCAACTAGTGGATCCAAACTGCCGACCTTCTGGTTAGCAGCCGAGCTCTTAAGCACTGCACCACCAGGGCTCTATGAAATGAAACATACTAAAAGCCATTAATTCATGTGGCATAGTTCTTAAAAATGACTACGAGTCATGCCAAACACAAGATCATCTTAGAGGAGAAACGGAACTTTAAAGCAAAACTTTGACTAGCTCATCTCCTAAGATGAGATCCCTGTTATATGTGGAAATGGACAACCTATTGCTACCAAGAGAGGCAGCACTGAGCTTATTCACACCTGCCCAAACCAATTGGGAGATAATGGGAAAATATACATGAAACCAGTCTCTAGGCAAAAATGTTGACTGTTTTTCCTTATCCCGTGTATATGCTCCTTTTTCATCTAATCTTGAACCTAAAAGAGAAAAATCAGATGGAAATTAGAACCCTAAAGGGAAACCTAAATTTAGTAAATTCTGGCAAACTTCTATTGATGATGCTTAATAAGTACCACGTAAAGAGTAAGGGGAGTCTCTGGATGGTACAAATGGTTAACATGCTCGGCTGCTAACTGAAAGGTTGGAGGTTCACTTTTCAGCTAATGCACCTCATGCACAGGCACCACCCATCTGTTAGTGGGGGCTTCTGTGTGGCTATGATGCTGAACAGGTTTCAGCAGAGCTTCCAGGCTAAGACAGACTAGGAAGAAAGACCTGGCAATCTACGTCTGAAAATCAGCCAATGAAAACCTTGTGGATCACAATGGTCTGGTCCCCCAAGAGATTGGAGGGATGGCATAAGACTGGACAAACTTTGTTCCATTGTGCATGGGATTGCCATGAGCTGGGAACGAACTCGACGGCAGCGAACAGCACCAACAACAAAAAGTAAGGAATTTAATTCGTGATCTGGAAGAAGGTCCTTGCTAAAAGAGCTCAAAATCCACCAGAGGTCACCCCAAGCCATGCTCGTCCTCTCACACTTGCAGCCCTACAGAAGTTACTGAGTCTTTTCTCAGTGCCTGACACTGTGTGGGAAGTAGAGACAAGGAGATGAATACAGCAAGTTCCGGCCCTTGAGTTATTCCAGTCTACTGGGGAAGACGGGTATATAGTACCCCAAACAACAGAAATACTATAGTAGAACATCTTCAAGCTGCTTCAGGGACAGAATAGCAGGAACTGAATTCTTCCTGGGTTTATTAGGAAAGGTTTCAGGGACCCATTAATAGTCTGTTGCCGTCGTGTCAATTCCAACTCATAGTGAGCCTATAGGACAGAGTAAAACTGCCTCATAGGGTTTCCAAGGCTGTAAATCTTTACAGAAGCAGACTGCCATATCTTTCTCCTGCGGAGCAGCTGGTGGATTCAAACTACTGACCTTTCGGTGAGCAGCTGAGTGCTTAACCACTGTGCTACCAGGACTCCTTTGACTTCAGGGAATAGGTGACAATTGAGTTGGACTTCACAGGATGAAGATAAATTTGCCAGATAAATAAAGACAGGAAATCATTCCAAGTAATAGGAACATGTTTTTTTCATGATATATGAAAAACATGATATATTCAAATATGGTAGATAATCTAGTGTAGGAAACCAAGCAGGTTTAAAAGAAGCGGTGTGATTGTCTCATGCCTGGATTAGGGTTATGTAAGGAGTGAAATATGGTTCCTAAAATACAGAGTTATTTTCTAAAGGCCTAATATACTATAATTTATGTTAAAACATACCATCTTATTTTATGAGTTATTTTCTTAAAAATATGGAAAATACAGAGAAGTACTTAGGAACACAAGCTCTAGAGTTAAACTATCTAGGTACAAATACAGGCTCCATCTCTTATCATCCATGAGACCGCAGACAAATCATTTACCTCACCAGAGCCTCAGTGTCCTTATTTGTAGAATGAGGATGACCATACTCATGCACACCTCACAGTGTTTTGTGAAGATTAAGGAAGAAAATTGATGGGAAGTTGAGACATATAGAGAATACTCAACAAATGTTAGCTGTTGTCATCAGCCTCAACATCTGGGTCAGCAAATCACAGACCAAAAGCCAAATCTGCCCGCAGCCTGTTTTTGTAAACATAGTTTCATTAGAACACAACCGTGCCTATTTATTGATTGATTTTCTGTGGCTGCTTTCACTCTACAACGGCAAAGTTGAATAATTCTAACAGAGACGCTACAGCAGGTAAAGCCTAAAATATTATCTGGCCCTTTGCAGAAAAAATTTGTCAACTCCTGCTCTATATAGTTAAGTAAACTTAGTTTGTCTTTTTACCATTCATATAGATATTCATAATTAATACCTTACATTTGTGAAACACTTTGAGGCATTTTCATATTACCTCACTTAAAAAAAAAGAAAAAACAGTTGTCATCAAGTCGATTCTGACTCATAGTGATCCCATGTGTGTCAGAGTAGAACTGTGTTCCATAGGATTTTCAATAGCTGATTTTTTGAAGTAGATCACCAGGCCTTTCTTCCAAGGCACCTCTGGGTGGACTTGAACCTCCAACCTTTTGGTTAACTGCTGAGAAAGGTAACCGCTTGTATTACCCAGAGACTCCTCATCTCACTTCATCTTCACAAATTATTATCACCAATTTAGAGATAAGGAAATGAAATCTAATTGATTAACTGATTTGCTTAAGGACCTACCCAGTTAGTAAAGGGTGCAGCCAGGACTCAAACCCATGTCTGTGAACTTAAATCTCAATGCTCTCTATTTATTATAGCTGTATCGATTATACTATGTCTAATCTGTTGTGCTTAAATGAAAGTCAAGGAGGAGGATGTTGAATCTTTGTATTGATAGTTGGGATCAAGGCTGTAATCAAATTGCGGAATGATTATCTTGATAGCTGACTTATAATTTCTTTTGTTTTCAGAAAATTTGTCTTATTTCAATTCTCAATGATGTAGATTCCTCAGAGAACATCAAGAGGTATTATCAGATGTCATCATCTGCTGAAAAGAAAACTAATGAAACTACTTCCATCATAAATAACTCTGAAAGGACCAGGAATGACTTACTGACCATCTTAGATACAACAACCTCAACAGGAAACTTGTCTTTGGAAAAATTAAAGCAGATAAGGATACTGGATATCCAAATATTGAATGAAAAGGTAAATAACTGTGATGATACAGTAAAAATGTAAATATAAAAAATTAAATGACTTACATTTTATTTTTTACTTTAAAAGGCTTTCTTGAGTAATGGTTTGATCAAAATCAAAGAGTAAAGATTGTGGCTTAATTTTATTATTACTTTATTTTATTATTTACTATTTCCAAAATGGTATAGATTATTGTGACATTTGCTCTTCTTGCCTCAGTATATGTAAAAGGTCATTTCTATTTTAAAAAATAAAATAACAATCCAGAAAAACCAAATCCATTGTCGGCAAGTCAATTCTAACTGATAGCGACCCTATAGGACAGAGCAGAACTGCCTCATAAGGTTTCCAAGGAACAGCTGGTGGATTCGAACTGCTGACCTTTTGGTTAGCCGCCAAGCTCTTAACCACTGCGCCACCAGGGAACCCTAAAAATTTGACTATTATCCACAAAAACTACAAGTATAAAAGTGACATTGATATAATACTAATAACAAACAATTTAGATATTTATTCAGTTACCTAGGAAACATTTCATGGGTCACCTCCATGTGCCAAGTGTAAACAACTATTGAAAAAAACACATACGAATAAAACAGTGCCTTGTCTCAATGAGCCTGGATGGGAAAGCCCGCATGTAGAAGCTAACGTCATGATACATAAACGTCCTCTTAAAGATACGTGCTGTTGTGGGACATTAAAATGCTAGACATAATAGATATTGGGATTTAGTCTAGAATTACAGCATATGCCATTGTTAGGGCATAGAGTTTATAGAGAATATGGAAGGCTACCTTTGAGACAAATATGTTTACTCATTATTTAATGAAATGGTTGGCATGCTATATAGTGGCATAAGACTTACAGGTATTAGAAGAGAACTCTGGGAACATGTTGCTCTTTAATATACATATTTTTTCCTTGAAGGTGTGTGGAGAACCAGGGTACCTGCCCTGTGTGCTGGCTCCCTGTGGTGGAGCTCTCTGCACGGGCCCTGAGGGGCACAGACACTGCGGTGGCCCGGGCTGCCACGGCTCCCTGGCCATCTCGAGGAACACCCTCCAGAAAGCCCAGGAAACAGAAACTGTGATTCACAATTTGGACAGCCAGATTCAAGGGTTGAAGAATCAGGTAAATAATGTTCTTGCTTTATTTGTAAAGTTACAGCAGTAAAGAAGCAAAACTGTTGGAAATTTTAAAGACTGCCCTTTAGCTCCCTCCCCCCATGAAGTATTTTCATAAGCACAGCTATGCCAACTTTTTTTTCACATGTTACTGTAAAAAAAAAAAAAAATTTATCATAGTACACTAACAAAAATACTTCATGGTGGCAGGGTGGTGGGAGGCCAGCTGGCAAAGAAATGTAGAAGGTGTGAGTTATTTGGGTAAAAATGCAGTACGTATATATGTATAAATATAGATGTAGATAGATACAGTTATGTGAGTTTGTGGGTGTGTATGTGTGTTTGGAGAGAAAGAAAGAAAAAGAACTCAGAGTATATCATTGTAGGTCACAGACTTCTGTGGACATGTTTTTTACAGAAAACATTATGCAGAAATGTCAAGATTTCTAGCCTTAAGGTTTAAAAACTATAAATCTTCTCAAGTAAAGAATAATTGTTCACCAATTCAAGAGTATATTTGAAATTCAACTAAATATACAAATTTTAATGTTAGAATTTAATTAAATGTTAGAAAATATTGAAATGGGAATACCATTATACTTTTAACTCCCACCTACGTTGGTAGACATGATAAAGTTGTTTTAACATTTAAATACCTAATAACTGAATCTGTAATAATTTTAAATGACTTTATTTACTTTTATGATCATATTTATAAATGAGTATCATTTTTAACTACCCAGTTTTCTTGTTTTGATAACAAGATGATGACTTGCTACTCGAGTTGTTCCTTGTTTGATAATCACATACAGCCTCTGACAGAGAAGAAAAAGCTTTGAAAGAGCTGAATTTTTTACCAATATTTTACAAATATAAATTGAATATTTTATCAGCCAGTATACTTGTCTACAGACAACAGAAATCAACTCCTAAACTAAAAGGAAATGTATGCAAGGACATCTGGGATTCAGAAACAAGAGAATAAAGGATCGAGCTTGGGAAAGGGGTGAGAACCACAGCCAAGATACACACACACAGCCTGCTCCAAGAGCCTCACCTTCATGGATCTGAGTCCCAGCTGGCTTTACGTCCTTGCTCTACTTGCTCCAGAGTCCAAGTTCTACAGCAAACGATTGACCAAGCTAGGGGAATGTTCCTACACATATGAAATGTTAAAAATTCGTATTTACGTACTCATAATTCTGTGATGCTACATAATTTTTCATTTATATGTGATCCTTCATCGTTTTAACAATATTCATTGAGTACTTATTATGTGCCAAGCATTGATCTAGATGTTGGGAATATAGCAGTGAACATCCCACTGCCGTCAAGTCGATTCCGACTCATAGCAACCCTATAGGACAGAGTAGAGCTGCCCCACAGGGTTTACAAGACTGTAATCTTTACAAAAGCAGACTGCTACATCTTTCTCCCTCGGCGCAGCTGGTGGGTGGGTTTGAACTGCTGACCTTTAGGTTAGCAGTTGAGCACTTTAACCACTGAGCCACCAGGGCACCTAGCACTGAACATAGCAGATGCAAATTCTGGTCTTACATCCCGGTGGTTAAAATGAAATTTTAAACTATTATATTGCCCTGTCTCAAAAAATAGAAATTCTTACATTATTTAAGTGAGCCCTGATTGCCACTGTATTATTAAGCTATCAGTTTTAAAAGATAATTCATGAAGTACATCTTAGTAGAATCTGGTTTAATCAGCACATAAATGGAGAACTGGAAAATGATGGAGGGGAAGCTGTCATGTTTATAAAATAGTGCACTATTTTCATTTTGATTAGAAGGGGAAGAGTGCCAGAAGAGATTATGAGAGAATTCTCAGCAGTTGATTGTGACAGAGGGTGGATTACAGAGAGATGCTTTAAGAGTGAAGTAATTTAGCAATCTCTTTTTTACTGAATATGGTATTGAGTAATCTATACTGAGATTTCAGCCGTATCACTTTGTACTTTCCAGTCTAGAGTATTTATTACTGAAATACTCATTTTAATGCTATCCATTCTTCCAATGCTCTTTAAAATGCTAAAGTTAAGAAAGTTCTAGAAAAGAAGGGGGAGAATGGTTGCACAACTTAAAGAATGTAATCAATGTCACTCAATTGTACATGTAGAAATTGTTGAAATTGGTGTCTGTTTGCTTTGTATACTCTCAACAACAAAAATAAATTAAAAAAAGAAAGTTCTAGAGAATTAAGGAACAAATCTTTAAAAAAAAAAAAAAGCCAGATTTAAGGTACATATTTTTAATCATGCAAATATTTCTTTTTAGTTTTATCATTTGCCAATGGTTATAATTAAATCCTTTTTCACAAATCCTGTATGGCTCAAATTAACCAGGCTCCTTTTGTAGGGAATGATAGGGCAATTTTTTTCCTAATTATGTTTGATCCTAATTAGCCCTACTTCTGTCACAATTAATTTATTCAATTATTCTCAGCTTGTTGGTGATATTGTCTTATTCTGGGTTTTTTTGTTGTTGTTTTTTTGCCCCCTTCTCTCTCTGTTTTGTTGGAGTTCCAAGAAAAGCTCAGCCTTTCTCAAATCACACAATTAAGAATTTGCACTTCTAAGTTGCAAGCCTTTTAGTCCTATCGTTCCTCCACCAAGTGTATAAAGTGTTCGGAATTTATCTTTGTAGCCCACTCTCAGTTCAAACTCATTTATTAAAAGGTGGAATGCTTTCTTGTTAGCTTTCAAAGAAGGCACATTACTTGAATTTGAGGAATGTTTAGAAGCATAACTATTTTAACTTATATAAAAGAAAATGTTCTCAACTTCTTAAACACGATGATCATTGTAGATAAGTAGTCCTAAGTAATTTTTGTGAAAATTGCTGGTATTATAGAATGAGAAAGTCTCATTAAAACAGAATTTGTGTTTTAGATTTGTATCAGGAAAAGTCATTAATGCTAGGTCAATATTGTTTTCAGATATTAATTTTGATCACTAACAATGTTCTAAAAGATAAATTCACATTATTAAGAAAATATGACAATAAGAACAGATAATAACCACCTTTTAAAAGAGTCCTTTAAAATGAATCTATGGTTTAATTATCTATACTTCTATTTAGTTTTTAGTGACAATTTTATTTGGTTCAGCTAAATAATCAAAGATCACAGAATGAGCCTAATTAGTGTGTACTTTCCTCATTGTTGTTTTATCTTATTCCAGATCAAAAATATAAGTAAACTGACAGAAGTCTCCAAGACCAATTTACAGTTAACCGAGAAAATGGAAAAAACAAAAAGCCAAAGTGAATCTGAAAAAGATAAAATGAATCTTTTAACCAAAAAAGTGAAAAACTTTTTGTTAGGTAATTTTTTTTTAAATATTAGGACCAGCTTTTGTTTCTTTTTTATTTATACTCAAACATCATAACTAATTCTAAGTTATATTAATTGAAAATGGCATGCCTAAGTCAGAAACATGATGTGCGCTTTGGTTTAAAATTTCTTAATGAGAATAATCCTAAAATAAGAACTGTGTGCCAAAAAAGTATGGCTCTTTGAATATGATTAATTTACTTATAAATCCTAGAATTTAGTTAAAAATCCAAATAAACGAACTTGGTGTCTAGAGATACTTTATTTGTTAAAAAAGAAAAGTCCAATATGATGACTACCATTTTCCCTAATGTCAGGAATCCATCATTTTCTCTGTTGACAGAGAATGCTATGAGATCAAGATCTGACAATCTTTAGTTAGTATATGAAATACTATAGTGAGGTGGCATCTAAAAAGTTGATAATTAACTACTACTGCTATTATTTCACTATTTTCCAAGCCTCTTGTTGGTCTTCTGTGCCTGACCAAAAGGAATCATTTGACTCATTATTCACTGTGCCTTATTTTGGGAGAGGTTTGTTTTAAACTTTGATAATTATTAAAGATAAAAATCAAATACCGTAAGCAGAAGTTGACCTGAAGACACACTGTCAGCAAATAATGCAGCTTGGGTACCACACCATATGGAAGTAATCCTAAGAGGCTCGCTTTTCCTTAGCCATTTTCCAAATTCAATAATTTAACACTCTGCACATAAATTAATTGACGATCAGGGCATCCATTACAATCTCTGCAATCGTTTCATTTGTCGGACTTAGAGTTTGTTGTGATTACATTTACAAGATACAGGGTTTAATAAAATAGACCTGATTACCTAAAACCCACCTTCTCATTTAAGAGGAAAACGTGCCTCCAGAGAACATAGAGAAGGTTGCAAATCATGTGCTTGACATCCATCTACTAATATCATCACACAACCTAACCCACAAACTTGACAAAATAAGGGAACTCGTGCAACTCTGTGAAGACTACAGAACAAATGAAAACAAGCTAAGTAAAACAGCAGATGGAACCCAGAAGCTTTCAGTGAAGGCAAAAGTAGCTGAGTAAGTACAGCACTAATACTCTCATCCCTCTCTAATAGATCATCTTCTATAAGGCCATCTGAAAAAACATTTCTTTGCCTAGGGAGCTGTAACATGCAAATGAAATTACCATCCAGGAGTATGGTGCCATATTGAAGGCTAAGCTGTCTTCGGAGGTGCCGGGAGAAGCTGGTCAATTGGAAGGCAGTGTGCAGGGGTGCTTGCTTCCCATTTTGCTTAGACTTGAAATGCCTTCCCAGTGGTCTGTTATCTCTTTATCCCAATATATGCCATCTACTAGTTATATGCTAATAGTTTAACAGGTAGTGGGAATATTGATGAATTTTTCCCCTCTACTGTACCTCCCCCACCCCCTTGGTACTTTTAAAATTTGCTGTAATAAGCAATACTTTGAAAGTCAAAAGAAGAAAAAGAATACAGTAAAAAAAAAAAAAAAAGAAACTATCTGGTTGTGGAGAATGGAACATGAACACGCATGCTCCAGGAATGATACAGAAGTCAAATGATATGGGGGAGAGGTGTTGTGAAGAAGGAGAATTCGTGGACTGCCGCTCTACCTGTAGGGGGAAAAGTGAGAAAAGGGAAAAAGATATTACCACTGGGAACAGCGTATGGGTTGGCTGGGGAAGGAGTGTTTTGCAATTTAGCTAACTTTGTTCTGGGCAGAAAGCGTTTCAAATTATGCCTTTGCAGAGGTCTGTCTGATTTTTCATTCCTTTGGTACGTTTCTTCCAAAGGTGGTTTTTAGCCCATAGATCTAAGTATCTGGCGAATGTTGACTTGAGGTGAGCTCGTTTCTGTCAAATAGACGCTATCACTTGGAATGCTTGTGATTTTAACCTCTGACTGGGCCCCTGAGCGGCTGGGATGTCAGTGAAGCTTAAATAAACCTGAATAAACACAGCCTGAAAGCACAGGGCCTTTAGCTCTCTCTTTGCTCCCTGTGAAGCCTCTTGACTCTCCTACCCTTTCTAATAAGGATTCAGGGACTGTTGTTTCAATTTCAAGAAATTTAGGGAACTGAGATTGGCTGAAGATAGTTTTTATGTTCAAAGATTGACTGTTATATACCCTAAACCTCTCTGCTTATGACAAATTAAGAAGAAACAACACCTGTGTCCTTACTTGCCGTAACTAGCCAAATCCGTATTTACTAGGTGTGATAGATATGTGTGTTTTTATTGGCATTTAAATACACCAGTTTCTCAAAATGAACACGTCAGCACTTTGCCTTGCTTAAGAGTAATTTTAATTCACTTTATAAGTAATTCAGGCAAGCTTTTGGTTCATTCTTGAGACGAATGAACTCTCAAGGTGAAATAAATGAATAATTTTATATTTATCTAATCTGGTATGTTAATGTCTTACTTTAGGAATGCAGCAAATGCTGTAGTAAATCTTGACAAAATATTGAACACATTGCAACAAGTTCAGATCACTCAAGGACAGGCAAATTCTACCATCACCCGGCTGACCACTGAGATAACACAAATAAAAAAGAATATACCGCAGGTATTTATCACCTTTGAACTATCCTGAATTAGATTTGGAGTGTGGAAATAATACAGAAGTTTTGATATATGCCAATGCCATGCTCGCCTTACCTGTCTGATGGGATTATTCTGAGGATAAAATTAGATTAGGGAGGCATCATGCATTGAATTAGTATTCTACAGAGTTTTCGCAATTACCATTTCATTTCATCGTCTACCAGTCCTGGGGGACACAGCAAGGGCCACCACAAGTTTGTAGATGAGGAAACTAAGACTCAGGAAGGTTCAGTGACTTGCCCAAGGTCACACAGCTAATGAATGATAGACTTTTGGCCAGGGTTCCTCCTAGTTTCCTAGTGCTGCTATATTAAATTATCACAAAAGTGGTGGCTTAAAACAACGGAAATTTATTCTCTCACAGTTTTAGAGGCTAAAAGTCTGAAAGCAAGCTGTTGGCAGGGCCGTGTTCTCTCCAAAGGATGGGGAGAAGAATCCTTTCGTGCCTCTTCCAGGTTCTGGTGGCACCAGGTGTTCCTTGGCTTGTGACAGCATAACTCCAATCTCTGCCTCCATCTTCACGTGGCCTTCTCCTCTGTATCTCTGTATCTAAATCTCCTTCTCCTTTCTCTTTAAAGACACCAGTCATTGGAGTTAGGGTCTACCCTAATCTAGTATGACCTCATCTTAAATTGATTATATCTGCAAAGACCCTATTTACAGATAAGGGTACATTCACCAGTACCAGGGGCTAGGACTTGAACATACCTTCTTGGAGGACACAATCCAACACACTACACTAGGGAAAGGAATAGACCTTTCAAAACTCACAAACCAAAGAAATAAAAGTTAATTGTTACAAAGTTTTTGTAACTAAATTTGCACAAAATGTCATCAGAGTATCGTAATACAGAAAGAATAGCTTACTCAAAAGGAAGTGTTACATCCAGAGTTCTGTGGGAGCAAGGCCATGGTTTAATCCACAGTGTGGACTATGGGAGAGGAAGTCTTGCAGACGGAGGACAGGACAGGATCCAGTCCCATGGCTAAGCCTCTCGCTGTGAAGTCTTCTTCCTCCAAGGTCCCATCCTCTAGCACATCCCCTTCCTAGCACATTGGGAGTTACTCAGCCTCTATTCTTCAGCTGTGTTTTATACATCCAACTATGTACACCTTGAGAAAAAAAGCAGAAAGTAACAAAAGAGGAAGTAGTGTACCGGTAAACAGAAAAGTTAGACATGAAGAGGTTGAGTATATAGAATAGCAAAAAAAAAGGGGAGGGGGCAGGTTTCCCCTTTCTAGGCATGTACTATAGAGCAAGGCTCAACCAACTATAGGCTATGAGTCAAATCTGCCTGCTACCTGTTTTTGTAAACAAAGTAATAAAGTTATATTGGAATAAAGCCAAGTTCATTCACTTATATGTTAGCTATGGCTGCTTTTGCACTACAACAGTACAGAGTTAAGTAGTTGCAACGGAGACTACATGGACCAGAAAAGCTACAATATTTATTATCTAGCCCTTTACAGAAAAAGTTTGCTGACCCCTGCTCTAGAAAAACTCTCCCACATATGCCCAAGGGCACTGAAGCATTTCTATTTGTAATAGGGACTTCCCTTTCTAACAATATGGTGGACTCCTAGTAGTTAAAAAAAAAAAAAAAAACTAGAAATGTTGGATAGTATATTTTAAATTTTTCCTAAAATTCATAGCTGATCTAATAAGAATCTGAGGAAATCTTCAGTGGCAAAAATAACAGGAAAGCATAAATCCAGAGAGGTAACTCGGACTGACGCAGACAGCTGATGAGGGCATCTACCAATCCCTGGTGTAAGAGATCTTTTGGTTTTACTGAGCACCAGACATAGAGACAGAAAACAAAGACTATGCAAGGATGAAAGAAGACCTCAAAAGGCAAAACTCTCAGTGAAATGGTAAACTTTAGCACATGCACACCCATACACACACAAACACACGCACAGAGAGAGAAACAGAGAGAGCCAGCAATGAAATGTGTCTCTGGATGGAGAGGGAAAAGTCCCCGCTCAGGATTCCTAATCATAAACTGACTCACACATGAGTTTGGGGCTAGAATCACACTACTGTGTAGCCCAAAACACTCAAGCTAAAAATTACATTTAAAGTCATCTTGGGTGGTAGTACCCCAGATGCCTGACAGAGACAAACACAAAAATACACCTTAAAAACAAGCCTCAAAGCATCTCCCCAAAACACATAAAGAAACAAATTGCCATAAACAAGAGCCATCAGAAACAATAAACAATGGAATCAGAATACCAGGGATCGTGGATATTAGCATTACTGGATATAGAATATGCAACAGGTACCTTTGTGATGTTAACAAAATAAGAAAAGATATCAACATTTGACCAAAGAACAAGAGACAAGAGATAATAATCAATGACCAGTCAGATCAAAAAAATATCCAAATAGGACTTCTAGATGTGAGAAAATAAACATTGAAATAAGAAACAAGTCTAAGATGCTTGTTATTACTAGGACCTGAACCAACTGGAGAATAGAAAAATAAATTGTTGTATATCCTAACAATGGAAAGTTTTAAATTGGTAAAAATGAAAGAACTAGAGCTATGCAAATTAACCTAGATGACCCACACAAGCATAACTCTGAATTTAAAAAAATCAATTTACAGAAGTATACAATATAGTTATATAATGTTAAAAATAAAAAATACTATAGATTGTTTGGAGTACTATTTAGTATGTACTAAAAAGCATACAGAAGTACATGAAAATGACAAGTATTGGATTCAGCTCAGTGGTTATTGTTGGGGAAGAGAGAAGAGATTCGATGGGAAATGGTACCCTGAGGGCTTTAACTCACTGTCATTGTTTATTTCTTAAACTAGCTGGTGGGCATATGGATAGCTGACATATTATATTTTAGATCCTTGTATGTTTGAAAGCCCAGGAGCCCTGGTGGCGAAGTGGTTAAGAGCTCAGGCTGCTACCAAAAAGGTGGGCAGTTCAAACCCACCAGCCACTCCTTGGAAACCCTATGGGGCAGTTCTACCCTGTCCTACAGGGTTGCTATGAGTAGGAATTGACTGGACGGCACACAACAACAACATGTTTGAAATATTTTATTATAACTTTTTTAAAAATATAATTGGAACAGAAAAAGAGAAGGCACTGTTTTCCTTTTTCAGAGAGGTTAATATGTTGTGTATTCTTATTTGTTTCTTGTTGCATGAAGAGACTTTCCCCTTTCTGGTTTTTAAATCAATAACAGACTGAAAATCAAGCCAAGCAGGCTAAGAATGAGCTGGATTTAGCACAGCAGCAGTCAAAGCTGAAGGATGGAGTTCCCCTGCTACGGACCAAGTTACAAAGGAATCAAGACCACGCTGCCAGTGCAAAAGCTCAGGCTGAATCCGCCCTGGGCAAGGCTGGGGGCGTGGAGAAGGTCATTAGTCCCACCACTGCCACCAAGAGCAGACAAGCAGTACTTCTTTGAAGGATAATCCTTGACATTTAGGCAAACCTTTAATCCCAGATTTTTGTGTTATTTATCAGCCTTTCCTTTAGTACTGGCTCATGACTAAATGCTATATGCTCATAGGGAACCTGTTGGGCATGAAGGCTCTTCTGCAGTGGAAGATGGTCTCTATAGAAGGCACAAGTCCTCCGGCTAAATCGTGTTGGACTGTTTCCTCCTCATCTACCAATCCTAGTATTCTTAATTCTGTCCTGGTCTAATAGCTCATACATCAAATTTTTCCTGAACTTCCAAATTTCAAAATGTATGGCATTTGACTATATTGTATACATTTGCCCTTTAATGAAATCCCACAACGTATAAAGAAACAGTAAGTGAAAGTCACATGCCAAAGAACAGAGATCAAGTTACAAAAATCAGAGTAACTTAATCAAACAGTTGTGGAAAGTGGCCCATTAATTTAGGTTGCTGAAAGAACCTATCAACTCATTTTCTTAGCAGGAAATCATTGGTTTATCACATTAATAGAGTAGCTTAAGCAAAAGGGGAAAAAATGTTACAGTGTTTTTGTAATCTGTCTTTTCTTTTGCTTTTTATTCCTAATGTGCTGGGTAAATTTTCCACTGACTTAAGAACATATTCTGTGGGACAGAGGTTGAGAAAGATACTTCCTGCCTACCCCTCTTCACTTCCATCCCCTATTCCTGGCTCAGACCTTTTTTCATCTACTTAATATTCTAGGTTGTCAACCACACAGGCTGACCCCAAAGATTTCCATTCTAATTCAAAGGGAAGGTCTTCATACCCCACACTTCCATTCCCTTCCTGCCTCCCTTCCTACGTCATTTCTCCCTTACCTTTTTACCAACCAAATAATGTATCCTGGCTGCCTTTAATTCTTCACCACCCACTCCCTCCTTAATCTTGCATGTGCAACGGAACCGTAGATTTGTCATGAGTAGAGGCTAGGTCATTTCTGTCTTTGGGTCATTTCTGTCCCACCTTAACACAGCAGAGCAAACGGTGCCCCACAAAGGGTTGCCTTAACATGGAATAATGGTTGATATTTTGCAACAAAGATGTTTTATTATTTAATTAACTAAAGCTGAGATTTTTTTAACCTGAAAAAACAAACATGCAAATAAAAGCCGCGTTGGAAATATAAGAGTGATTCGAGTGTAGTAACTAGATTTTTGTTTCTTCTGAATTCCTTTTACGATAGTAACAGGAGAATTATCATACATATGTACATGCTTTGTAAATATTTTCTGATGATGGGAGTGTTGATCTGTTACAGGAGTTTGTTGAGCTGAAAAACAAATATGCTATTCTTCAACATAAGACAAGCACTGCAGGACTGACACAGGAAGCATTAGGAAAACTGAAACAGCTAAAAGATGCAGCAGAAAAATTGGCTGGAGATACAGAGGACAAAATGAGAAGAATAACAGGTATCTATTCTTTTGGAGCCCTGGTAGCGCAGGGGCAGTTCTACTCTGTCCTATAGGGTCACTATGAGTCAGAATCGACTCAACAGCAACGGGGTTTTGGTATTCTTCTTTTACCTACCCCACTAATTTGACAATAGCATAATAAGATTCTACCTTCCTGGTAGAATTTACATCAACTTCAATTTGTCATGGACCCAATTAACCATATTTGAATCAACTGAGGATAAAGATGTAGGAATTGGGCTTGTGTTTTTTGGCCTCTTGCATGGTTTGACCTGGAAGGGTGTCAATGAGTTAATCTACATTAAGCACAACAAACTGAGGTTGCCTTTGGTCACACTGAAATGCCCTTATCCTAACCCAGGGGCTCTCAACTGGGAGCGATTTTAAACCCCCAACCCCAGGGGATATTTGACAATGTCTGAAGATATTTTTGCTTGTCACAACTTGAAAGGGGGGAGCTACTGGCATCTATTGGGTAGAGGCCAGGGATGCTGCTAAGATAGACTTCCTACAATGAATAGGACAGCACCCCACAAGAAAAAATTCTCTAACTCAAAATGTCAATAGTTCAGAAACATTGTCCTGACCTATGCTATGTATTTTTCCTCTCAGGCAAATAGCTCTTTTGGGGTCAGTGTGATCTAGCATCGAGGGCACTGTGTCATCTAGCATAAATCTGTGGGTTGTTGTTGTTCTTGTCAGGTGCCATCGAGTCGTCTTTGACTCATACCGACCCTGTAGGACAGAACAGAACTGCCCCATAGGGTTGCCAAGGAGCAGCTGGTAGATTTGAACTGCTGACCTTTTGGTTAGCAGCCAAGCTCTTAACCACTACGCCACCTAAAAAGGACCATATTCTAGACAAGGATTTTACAATGTGTAGTAAACATAGAATACATGGCATCAGAAAGTTAATCGGGATCTTTTTTTTCCAGAATTGATATTCACAGTGATTTCTTTGGGCAATCATCATGTCCTTAACTGCCTCTAAATCATCAAGAAGTGATCAAATGATGAATGGTATAGTCTTGCTGTTGGTTGTATTTATTGTCTCCCAAAACTTTAAAATTAATTATATTCATTTGGAATATGAGTAACTCTCAAAATATTAAAATATCCCAACTATTCACTTATAAATGCTCCTTTGTTATAAAATAAGTCTTTGGCCTTACAACAACTTATATCATCACTATGACATGAAAAAAAATGAAAATGTAACATAAGTGTTGGCCAAGGTCAGGACAAAGACATACCAAACTCGAGCATGTTATCTAGTGATCTCTCAGAGGAGGGCAGGGAGGAGAAGACCGTCACTTTTTTACTGTTATTTAATTGTTTTTAAAGCAGTGGGTTTGTGGGTAGTTTTTTTTTTGTTTTGTTTTTTGTTTCATTTTTCAGCACTTTTTTAATAATTTTTAAAAGGAAATACCTGGAAAGATTCAGTAAGACAGTCAGAATATTTTTTAACTCATATTCCATAGGCTATATCATGAAAATCAGTTTCTATTATTCCCAGTCCTTGGTCCTTACTATAGGAGCAAACACATGGGGAGAATATTATGGTCTTATGTTTCATATCAGGGTCCAAATTGTTTCCACCTATCCCCATTGACAAAAACTTCTATAGCTCTTGAGATTAGATTGGAAGAGAAGTTTAAGTTAGGGGATTTGTCAGACAGGTTGAAAATAATGCATTCCACTTCTTCTTTTTCACGTTAAGGGTATTTTCACAATTCAACAAAACAGAAAAATAAGACACTGACTTGGCTGTCTTCTCTATTTCTTCTGCTACTGTGCTTTACTCTTGTTTGTTAGAAAGAGATGTCCATGGAATCCCAAGGGTAGCAGCACCAAAGTTAAGAGAGTAAAGAATGGGCCCAAACCTACAGACAGGGCTCTGTTGGGTTAGGGTCTCAAGAAATAGAAAGCATACTCAGGTCTATGTAAATATAATGTATTTATAAACAGGGCTGTCTCAGTTATCTATTTAGTCCATAACAAACCACCTTGAAATTTAATGGCTTAAAACAACAGCCATTTTTCATGATTGTGTGGATTGCCTGGGAGGTTCTTTGCAGGTTTCACCTGGGCTCCCCAAGGGGCTGGATGCTGGCAGATCAACATGGGGTGGGGCGTGGCTGGGTTGCTGGGCCTCTCTCTACATGATCTTTCATCCCAGGCTGCTTTACAGCCCGGTTGTTTTCAGGGTCCCACTAGATGAAGAGCAGAAGCTGCAAGTCCTCTTGACGTCCCGCAACATTGCCACCATTTTCCATTGGTCAAAGCAAGTTTCGAAGGCATCACAGGTTTGGGAGGAAAGGATAAATAGACTCTACTTCTTGATGGGAGGAACCAGAACAAATATATGATCATTTTTAATCTACCAGCAAAGTTAAAGGAACCAACAAGGGGTACTGAGGCAGTAGCTGACTAGCAGCAGGGAGACGCCATTAGCATCCCTAGGACTGAAGCAGTAAGGGGAAGCAGGAGTGTTACCAGAGCCCTGTGAGAACTGCAGCATTAGGAAGGAGGCCACTTTGCAGGAGCTGGAGTTGAGAGATGTAAGAACAGCCGAAAGCAGGCACCGTGATGGCTCACTCTTTCCATCCTCTGGTCACTTGTCAGTATCATCCATTGGACAGATGTGAATGAAAGCTGGGTAATGCCATGATTGGCTTTCCAGGACCCAGAACAGGATAAAGACAGGACCTGGTGGGGCAAATGAAAAGTAACCAGCACAATCATATGAACTTACCTAGCAGAAACCAGGGCTGTGAACCAGTTCATTCCAGTTCGAACCTCTGGCGAGAATTTGCATTTTTAACAAGTTCCCAGGAAATTATACATAAGAGTTACCCGAGGATCTTGTTAAAATGTAGATTCTGTTCCAGTATATCTGGGGTGGAAATGTAAATTCTTATGTTTCTCCTAGAAACATAAGGGTCTTTTTGTTTTAAGTTCCAGTATGCTTCCAAAGCTGAATCCCCTTTTCAATTCCAAATAGCCTATAATTGAAAGTTTTCAGTGACAGAAATCTCACTGCCTTCTACAGCAGCTGTTTAGTCTTTGAACAGTCATAACTACTAGAAAGTTCTCCTTTATATTCAGAAAAAATCTTCTTTCATGCAACTTTCACCTGCCGTTTTTCATTCTATTTCCTCAGGCTGACAGAGAACATATCTACTCTGCTTTCCTAAGTTGGCCCTTCAAATACTTGAAAATAGCTATGGTGCATGCCCGGAATCTTTTCTTCATCTGAAATATCACCAGTTAATTCAACATTTGTTCACAGCAATCTGGCTCTTTCCTCTAAACACATAGCAGTTTGACAATTAACCTAAACCAAACTCAGTATTCAGGTACGATCTGACCAAGTGAAGTGGGGCATTCACCTTCCTTTTTCTAAAGGTTTCACTTCAGCCTAAGGTCAGAGTTTCTTTTCTGAAGGCCACCTCACCCTGTTACTTATAGCTCTCTATACCTCTTCTATCCATTACTCTACGGCCTCTTGTTAAGGTTTGCTAGAATTCCCAGATGTTTGTGGAATGAAGAATGAATAAATGAATGCATGCATGGATATGGATGGATGGATGGATGGATGGATGGATGGATGGATAGATGGACAGGTGGACGGATGGATGGACAGATGGACAGGTAAGAGTGAAGCCAAGAAAGGCATCACTTTGCTTTTACTGTTCAGGTACTTCAATATTGGCAGAGAAGAGTGAAAAAATGAAAATATCAATCCTTCTTTATGGAAAGATCAGGAAACTCTAACATGGTGAACACGTATTAAAAAGTGAAGTTAAAAGAGCAAGAACGAACTTTTGGAAATATAGCACTTCACCAAAACAAATCAAGGCTAGTCATCTGTCCTTTCATTTCTGATCAGTTCTAACAACAGACTCACATTGATAAATGTCTTTAGGTACAAAACATTTTTAGACAAAAACATCAGTTTGTCTGCTCTGATTTCTGTGAAAACCTTGAAAAACATCTACTGAAAATAAATGTTTTATCTATTGAACCAAACCACAAAAATAAACATTTTTTTATAAGACACACAAATCCCTGGGTTAGTATAACATTGGAATCCATGGGGAATCTACGAAATAGAAAATATATCATTTCTTTCATTTTCTCCTTTCAGATTTAGAAAAGAAGATTCAAGATTTGAATCTAAGTAAACAAGAAAAAGATGATCAGCTGAAACAGCTGGAAGATCAAGTCATTGCCATTAAAAATGAAATTGTTGAGCAAAACAATAAACACACTACCTGCTATAGTTAGGCAGAGTTAAAGTGCAAAAGCCTGTGCCTTGGCTTCTGGCTTCTGATGAGCAAACAGGCAGAGCTGTGCTGAACTTGTGAGGCAGACCATCAGCCTCTTTGCCTTCCATTTCCAGGCCTTCATCTTGCAGATCTGCTTAGGGTGGCTGGAGCACAGAACTGAAGCCAGATAAATGCCATTTCGTATGTAATAGAAAGGGAAGGAAAAGAGATTGACTCTGGTTTCAGAAACTCTTCCTCTTGCCTTCCTTTTCCTTTCATAACTTAAAAATAATTGGTTACATATGATGAGTATAAATTTTAAATAAGTGTATCTATTTGCTGATATTCAATGAGGAAACCCTGGTGGTGTAGTGGTTAAGAGCTGCAGCTGCTAACTAAAAGGTCAGCAGTTCAAATCTACCAGGTGCTCCTTGGAAACCGTATGGGGCAGCTCCACTCTGTCCTGTAGGGTCACTATGAGTCAGAATTGACGCAATGGAACAGGTGGTGGTGGTAATACTCAATGCAGTCAAATGAATATAAGCTTTTAAAAAAAAAATCTCTAATACTATCACTCGGCATTGAGTCAGTTCCAACTTATGGTGACCCCATGTGTGTTAGAATAGAACTGTGCTCCACAGCGTTTCAATGGCTGATTTTTCAGAAGTAAACCTCAGACCTTTCTACTGAGGCACATCTGAGTGGACTTGAACCTTCAACTTTGGTTAGCAGCCAAGTACATTGACTGTTGCACCACCCAAGGTTCATCTCTAATACTAGGATGGAATAAATATGGACAGCAGGTATTAGATTTTTTTTTTTTTTTTTTTACTGGGGTTTGCTTTTATTTGTAAAGCTTTTATTCTATTATGAATAAAATGCATGCAATTCAAAATGTAACTTGTTTTCACATTCACTTTTCTACACACTTATTTTCTCAAACAGAGGATTCTGTCTTCTCCAAATAGCACTGGAACAATATTAAAAAAGACAAGTATTGAACTACTGCAGGCATTTTTTGCTGTAAAATATGCTACTTATTTAAAAAAAAAAAACTAGCAATCAATTCTTATTGTTTAGTGTAAAATATCAGATTGTCTCATTTGAAAATGGGTCTATGATTTTATTTTAACTTATTTTGCATGTATGTTACAGAATAGAGCACATTGCTTCTGTTTGTGAAAGCTATCCTTCAGAGGGATTATTTTAAGGGAGTTTGGCCCTACATTTTCGAATAAGAAATAATATACATCAGCACTGATGTATGAAAGAGGGAAAACAGCTGGAGCCATCTCTATTAAGGACTGACTCAGAATAAATGGATTTAAAAATTCAACAAAGGGGCTTTAGGATTACACGTAAGTATGGAAATCTTAAAATGTAGGTTATTAAGAAAAATTGCACAATCTACTTCCCTGGAGATCCTGAAAAATAGAATAAAACTTTTCTACAAGAAGGACAAACCCAGAAATCTCGCTTAAAGTACATTGTGGTAATGTCCCACATATTCAGCACTGAAAATTCTGGAAACCTCCACCAATGGTCCACAAAATGTCCTGGAGAGTTGAAAAATATAACTATCACAAGTCTGAGTACTCTAACGTACGGGGCGGAACCATACTCTAGCTTTCCTATCAGGATGCTGACTTTAAGCTTTGTACAAATGATAGACTTGATTTTACAAGCTTGGTTATCTGTTTGCAATAGCGACATTCAATTGTTCTTTCTTTTCAGGCCAGAGGGGTGTGGGAAGGGTTAATGAGGGAAGGGTTTCTGTGAGATGACTGGGAAGACTAACTGCTGGGCATTTCTGGAGAGACAGAAAAGCATCCAGTGATTAGGAAAACACAACAGTGTCAGGAATCAAGTAAAAGGGCAAGATACACCAGATCATCCCAGCAAACCCCAAGGTATTCCAATCTGATGAGGTTAAAATCAAACCAGTTGCTGTCAAATTGACTCCAACTCATGGTGACCCCACATGTGCAGAGTAGAACTGCACCCCCTTGGATTTTCAAGGTTGTGACCTTTCAGAAACAGATTACCAGGCCTTTCTTCTGAGGCATCTCTGGGTGGGTTCAAACCACCAACTTTTCAGTTAGTGATCGAGCACTTAACCGTTTGTGCCAACCAGGGACTCCTTGGTGAGGTTAGGAAGTATGTAACACACTTTACAGAGATTGCAGTTAAACCGGTTTTGCAATTAAAACTTTGCTGATTAAACTAACAAGCTTCATTTATCTAAAATGTACATATACGAAAAACCTAATTTCTCAGTAATGTCAGATAACTTCTGTCACTTGCTGTATCAGTCGTTCAAGATGTGATCAAGGCAGAAACTCATAATTCGTCTGCAGGCATTTTTTTGCTGTAAAATCTGCAAAGTACATTGCAAAGTACTTTGACAGTATGTGTCAAGTATACATTGCAAGGTACTTTGACAATATGTATCAAGATCTATCCTAAAACCCACTGTTAATCCTGTATGTTAGGAAAATAATTTTAAATATCAAAAAATAGCTTTGTGGATAATTCATTGTAGAACCATGTATATTAAAAATAGAAAGACTCTAAATAACAATAAAAACATTGAATATGATGATTTTACCAGTCTGGGTTCTTGGTTGTAAAAACTAAAAGCCAATTATAACTTATTAAGCAGGAAAGGAATTTATTGAAAGGCTATATAATAGCATACAAAATTGAAAAAATGGGTGAAGATAATGCAACTGAGAACAACTGTGTATCGGGAGTATAGCTAAGATCACACATCAGTAATACTCAGGGTAGGATGCCAGTACTGGCCCTGCTGGACACGATTCACCATCCCAGTAGCTCCAGCTGTGTCTGCACCTTGCTTCACCCCCTCATGACTCAACGTCCCTGGAAGGAGCATCCAGCTTATTGTATGGCCTAGCTGCCGGGGGGTGAGAAGGGTGACTATTGCCCCCTTTGGCTTTGGTAGTGGGAGGAGGGTTTTGCTTCACTTGTCTTTGGAATTCCTCCAAGGTAGGAAGGATGTTTTGGTGCCAGACGTAAAAAACTTACAAATGTCCATTATAGTCCACCTCTTTGACTTCCTAATATCATAATGCCTTCCTCATTCCATTTCTCCTTCCAAAACAAAAATAAATGCTTCCACCAAACATAATGTAACAATCACTCAGCCAACTAAAAACACATCTACCCTGTCTTCAAGGGAAAACAACCCAAAGTCTCATCACCCACTGAGGGCATCCAGCTCTAAAGCTGTGGGCTTCAGCTGAGCTCTATTTGTTTTCCACATCTCTTCCAATTCCTTCCTGATACGCTGAAACTTGGTTTAAATTTAAAGTTAACCACCAACATACACCAAGTATAGAACGGTAGGAGGAGAGGAGATAAAAGGAAATTAAATACACTTTCGATTTTATAATTAAAAATATAAATACATACAAAACTGCAAGTATTGAGAAGCACAGATGGAGGTTGCAGCTTTCATTTCTCTTAATTCTTCAAAAGGATATAGCTTGGATTTATGATCTTCTTTCTTTACTACATATTCCATGTTCCCTCTGCCTTCAGCAAGTATCTCTTCACCAGGAAGAGTGACCTCAACCTTCTTTCCAGAAGATTCTGAGCCTTTGAAGGTCAGCACGTATAGGGGTAGAGTGCTCTTACATCAACATTTTTCCCATGAACATGGCAGTACGAGGATTGTCTAGATTCTAGTCTGTTCCTCCTTGCTCCCACTGTGCTCTAGCAGTCCTGTTTCCCTTTAATAGTTAGGCTCGATTATCCCAGCCAGAATCACAATCCTCTTTTTTGCCTGTTTCTCCTTTAACGTGAGGAGCCTGGATAGCTGGATATTGGTGGTATTGGTTACGTATTCCAATTCGGTGGGACAACTGTTGTGTCATTTAGTGAAAACAAACATCCTTTGCAACCAGAACCCAAAGTCACAGGTAAGGGAAGTAAAAGTTTGCCTGTGAGTCATTTTCATATAACTGTGAGCAGTGTCACGTATATTTCCACTCTCGGTTCTTAGATTTATGTATCCTGTTTATAGGATGCTCCACCAGCTCTCATTATAGAAGGCATGGCCCTGCCTCCCATCTATTTTAGAAAGAGGATTTGATGTGGGTAACCCACTTCCCCAGAAAAAAGGGAATTTAACCAATTGAAGTATGCCAAGCACCTATACATAGTCAATAAATGCTACTTTAGAAAATATGATTGGAAGATACATTTACATTCTTCATATGAAATATTTACATGCATCAACATGCATACATTGTCTGCATCTCCATTACCATTGTTCTAATACTTTCCGACACACAACCATAGTTAGCTTTGGTAACACACACCAAAGGCTAGGAATAGATGGTTGGCTGCATTTTACCTTACACTCACTAGGTGGCAACAAGTTAACCAAGAAAACCAAACCAAACCCATTGCCGTAGAGGCAACATAGCGACCCTATAGAACAGAGCAGAACTGCCCCATAGAGTTTCCAAGGAGCATCTGGTGGATTTGAACTGCCAAACTTTTGTTTGGTAGCAGTAGCACTTAACCACTATGCCACAAGGGTTTCCATCCTAACATGGCACCAAGAATTAAAATCCAATCTATAGTACTGTTACTTTTTACAGGAAGACAGAAATATATTAAGCCCGCAAAACATTCACAGTAAGAAACTTTAAAATTAACCAGTTGAAGAAATGACCTCTGATTGGAAAACATATAAAATAACTGTGTCATAAAAGTACTAGACACAGTTGGGCAAACTTGTAGGGAAACTAGATGCAGGCGTGACATAGGCTCTCGTATGATATGCTTCCTGATGTTGCCTCTTATTCAGAAAAGAAGTTTAAGAAATTCATCAATGTCATGGACTTAATTATGTCCCCCCAAAAATATCTGTCATCTTGGCTGCGTCATGATTCCCAGTACTGTATGAATGTATACCATTTCTGATGCGATTTCCTTATGTGTTGTAAACTCTGTCACTATGATGAGGTTATAGTGATGAGGTCTACA